ATCTATTCTGCCCTTCCAACCAATACTCTGTCTATACTTCCACCTACAAAACCCAAACTCTGTCTATACTTCCATCTAGAAAACCCCACCTCTTGTCTACACTGCCCGGGTCTCACTAAGTTTTTTTTTTTTTTTTTTTTTTTTTTTGGAAAGCATTAGCCTTATATTGGAAAAATTCCAGAAAGAGACCGGGGACCTCACAATTCAACCCGGAGTTATCCTGGCAGCCTCAGCCAGTTTACAGTTTAGCTTTTGAGCACAAGTCATATCTGTGTCTACCAACCATAGATAACTCCGCCCTACATAGGGAAACTAAGTCCGAGATCTCGTTCTAATTACCATCGGTTTCCAAAAAAATAATCGTGAAGCTCAGAGTCTCACTTAGGTTTAGGATCGAGATACAAAGAAATTTCAGTAGGGTCTCTGGTCGTCAAACCTAAATGCAGTTGCTTGGGGGGGGAGCAGCCAAGTTGCCGCGTTTTTTTTTTTTTTTCTCTTTAATCTTCCCCATTGTTGGGGTGTTGCGTTTTGCGGGCCTACTGAATGGTTCCGTTTTTTTACTATGGATATGGTAGAATGTTTGGTTTGTGAATCTTGTCTGCTTCGGTTCTGTATATTGGGCATCCTGGTTGGTTGTTTTCCCGGTGGCCTTCTGAGCGCGGGGGCGGTGCTTGTATGTGGGAATCGTCATCCGGGATTGTCTTCTCTTTCTCTTTGGTTGTCACACTGTGGACCGGAGCTTTTTTTTATTTTTTTGCAGACGAGAATGATTTGACATCCTGGTTGGTCTTGTCCCGTCGTTTGGCCTGTGGTGTGGTGCAGGGGCGGTGCTTGCATGGGGGACTTGTCATCTGGGATCTGTTTTGTTGCCCCCTGTTCTGTKTTATTTGGCTGTTCCCTTCCTCTCTTCTTTGCCTCTTTGCCTTTTGGCTGTGTGCAAGTGGGTCGATATGACACATGGGGGTGGGGGCACCCGCCGATCAACCTACATCCACGTGGGCGGCCTTGTACGCAAGAGGTTCTGAACAGGGGGAGTCTTGTAAGGAAGAAGATTAAAAATGAATTGATATTTTTTGTGTTTTCCTTTGTTGTTGTTTTTTCGCTTTTGCGCTCTGATATTTATGTGACGATATCTTTCTTTCCCTATCTTTCTTTCCCTATCTTTCTTTCCCTGTCAGGTTTGGTTTCCTCCTCCCCTTCTTTACCTCTTTGCCTTTTGGCTGCGTGCAAGTGGGTCCTTGTGACACACGGGGATGGGGGCAGCCANGAGAGGGGACCGAGGGGACCAAAGAAGGGGAGAAGGGAAAGGGAAGGGGAAGGGGAAGGAGAAGAGAACTTAGAGAAACGGCTCTACCCTTGCAGCCATAGTCACATGCCCAAGGGGGGGACTGCTGCAACCCACACCCTCCTCCAGATCCTGGCTCTTCTTCAGGGTTCCCCCACTGATTGGGAGGCTTACTAGGAGCACCCAGTCATGCAGCAGGGGGATCCCTAAAAGAGGGAGCTGCCGGGGGGAGGAGGGGGCTGGGGGGGGGGTCCCTAGCTGTCTCACAGGCCTCTTATCGGCATCTCAAGATCTTCCCTAGGGGAAAGGGAAGGGGAAGGAGAAGAGGACTTAGAGAAACGGCTCTACCCTTGCGGCCCTAGTCACATGCCCAAGGGGGGGACTGCGGCAACCCACACCCTCCTCCAGATCCTGGCTCTTCTTCAGGGTTCCCCCGCTGATCGGGAGGCTTACTAGAAGCACCCAGTCATGCAGCAGGGGGATCCCTAAAAGAGCGAGGTGCCGGGGGGAGGGGGGGGGGGGGGGGAGCGTCCCTAGCTGTCTCACAAGCCTCTTATCGGCATCTCAAGATCTTCCCTAGTGGTTTTAGTAGTGTGCTTCCTAGGTGTTACTAGTATGGTCCCTAATACTCTATTTCTTATTTCCGCCCCGAGTGGCTTTACTAGTGTGGTCCCTGATACTCTATTTCTTGATTCCGCCCTCCAGGCATTTGAAGAGCATCTGGTTTCATGTACAGAACATTATTCATGTCTCTCTGGCTTGTCCCTCCATCTTTGCCAAAACCATCTATTTTATATATGCAGCCTAATACTGTAGTCTCTCTACCCTTGTCTCTCTGCTGTTGCCAAGAGACTAACAGGGCTTCTGGCTATTCTACCCTGTATTTACACCTAGTTTCCCTCCATGTTCATCCATATCCCCTTCTTCCTGCCTTTCTTTCCATTCTTCCTTCATCTACTAGGATTTCTCCGCTTCCTATCTCAAAGTTCAAGTATGTTCGACTATGTTTTCCTTGCTTTTGATGTTTTTCAGTTTCTTAAGGATTTTGTCCTTCTTACCTCCCAATCCTCCTACTTCCGTCGTCTTCCTACATGGATGTCTACCCCCCCTGCCTACCCAACTATTATGGTACACTCAAATCCCACCAAAGCCTCCTCTTCCTCCTATCCTTCCTCTGTAACTATAATACACCTCGGTTATTCCCTCAATTCCCTGCAGATGTCTACGGGATTCCAGCAGCGAGTTGTAGATATTCTTTGTGGTCAAATCTTGGAGCTGCACCGTTTTCCTCTGCATCCCCTGAGCTGGCCGTTCCCACTCCGCCGGGTCCCATATGAGATGCCGTGCAAGCTAAGCTATATTCTTCTCTCAATTTGACCTGTCACTATCTACCTTTTTTTTTTTTTCACCTCCAAAACCAGTGACCTCTACTGGAGGTGATACGAGTAGCCTCCTCTAGTAGTCGCTGCCCCTGGTTGACCCATCTATTGGTGGGGAGCTACACCTGCTGGAAACCGGGTCCAGCATACCCGTACAACCATGAGATTCATGAGGACTAACATAAGCGTAACCCGCCAGCATTGATTGCCCCTGATTGCCCAGGAGGATTGACGAAGCAGTAGGAAGTTCTGTAGCAACAGAAGTGCCTCTTCACCCTTCAAACAGGGCGCCTCTTCTAGCTTGGCATATCCAGCACTACTCCTAAGCCTGTTCAGGGGACCCCTGCAAGCATAGCTAGGCCGGGGCCGGTGTGGGGTGGGGTGGGGGGGGTTTGTTTGGCTAACGCAAAGATGGAGCATATTGCCAGTAGCTGCACCTCCCGTCTACTTCCCCCGGCCCCATCGAGTAACAGCAGTGTCTATGGCCATCACTCATGCGCCACGCATGACTCCACACACACACATACACGGACTCACACACACACACACACACACACACACACACACACACACACACACACACACACACACACACA